GTCTCAGCACGACCGTGTATTTGCCTGTTTACTCGTAAACGACAAACTTTAAACGAAAACTTCTGTTGTTGTTTGAGATCAGCATCGGATTTAGCGTCGAACGATATATGATACTTGTACTTGGAAGAAAATGCTTTTTAGGGTCAGGATATAACCCTTGTATCTGTACTTCACAATACTGAAAAAAAATTTTCTATTCAAATACGAAAATGTTATGCATCCATCAATACCAATTCGACGTTGATTTCGAATTTGACAATAATTTATGTCTAAGTTTGTCATGCTTGAAAAAATTGATAAATACTTAGTCATGTTTAAATAATGTACTGAAAGCTGCTTTGAGCTAAGAATAAGTACATTGTTAATATCCATTCAATAAGTAATATTGAATGGACTTCTGTTCTGTTAAAAAGATGACAAAGCTTAGGGTTTACTGCCTATGGGCTTTGTGATTCATTGATTTTTTGTTATTTATTTCTAATTTAGACACTATAAATCCAAATAATGATACAACATCCTCTGTTGATTGTGAAATTTCTACTGATTCGGTTTAGGAGAAAACAGGTGAAGTTATTGTGGGTAGTGCTGAACACGGATGTGGTTTAGGAAAACGACAGTTATGTTATCCAACAGATATATTTATTACTTCGAAAAACGTTTTGTATATTGCTGATTCTGTTAATAAAAGAATACAAAAATATAATACAGAAGATGATATTATTGAAACTGTTATTAGTGAAGGATTATTTGAACCAATAAGTATTTCTGTTACTCCTGAAACAGATGAAATTTACATACTTGATCGTATTAATGAGAAAAAATGTACTGTTAAAAAATTATCATTGAATAATATAACCAGGAATTCGCCCTATCTTATTACTGTCGTTATTAACGCACCACTAGATGTATGCTATGATTTATTCTTAGATAAAGATTTAAATATTTATATAGCAAAAGAATTTGATGTTAGAAAATGGTTTTCACCAGGCTATTTCTATAGTATACAGATTGCTATATATCCTGATATTTTAGTTGAATCACAAACGCGCTCTACAATTGCAATTTATATTGATGATGAGAACAATAATGATTTGTATTTATACGATCCACTATACCGTAGTAGTAGCATACAAAAATGGTCGTTCGATAGTTTCATTGGTACTGAAATTATACCACGAATAACTAGGAATGCTGATTTCGATAGGAAACGAATTGGTTTTACATTGGATTGTAATAAGAATATTTACTTTAGCTATGCTAAAAATGATGATGTCAAAACTTATGTTATTTATCAATTCAACCAAGAAAATAATCGTACAATAGTTATAACTGATTCAAATCTTTCCGAAATTTCAGCTATTGAATTCGATTCCTATGGTAATTTATATGTTGCCGAATACCTTAAACATCAAATAAAAAAATTCGCAATTATGAATTAATAAAACAATAATATGAGTTAGCCACTGTCTAAGAACCAAAACAGTACTTTTGTTTGCGTGTGTCAACTGACTGTTTCTTAAGACAGCGTTCACGAAAAACCGATGCACAATTTTGCAGACAAAACACAGGTTTGTGGAGATGAGTTGGAACCAGTATTTACGCCTTGCTGGATTCGCTCGAAGCTCAGCTTCATTTCTATGAAAAGTTTTTTTGAAAAATCCTTGCTGAGAAAATTCATTTTTCCTAAATCAGAGGCGAAAAAGTCGGAATTTTGTCCGTTTTGGACGAACCTGAACTTCAATATCAAGTAAGATCCTTTTAAAGATATCGGTAATTGCATCATTTTTCCTACTGAATATAACGGACGAAGAAGAGAAAAAAGGATAACGGGTAAATCGGGGAGACTTATCACATCATACACTGACAGCTAATTCACCTGAGCCACTTGCCTTACTAGTGGCCACGCGTATTTTTTCGTTTCCGATCTCATCTGATAATAATTTTGCTTTATTCAATATTTAAGTGAGTTTTATAAATTCGAACTGGTCAGAATTATTTAAGATTTCTTTTATACGTTTATTATAACATTTACAAAAAACTGACGACCATATCAGGCTGGTGTTGCATTTTGTATGCCTTTCATGGCGTTTGAACAAGGTCTCTCCGTGTTCGACTTCAATTTCCTGCCGTTTTAAGCGCTAAAATGAATCTTGCCCAGTTAATCTATCTTAAAATGGCCTAGAAATGAAGTATCGATGATTGAAGAAATATTTTTAGATCAGACAGTAGTGGTACGTCAGAAAACAGCTGTAATCGTTCTTGAAATAATTGTTATTAATCGTAGCTGTGATCCCCATATACCTATTTAAACTATATTTTGGGGCAAAGTTTTAGAGCCGTAAAAACAGGCTGTAACAATGTGGGTCATTATTTGTATTTGGAGCCATTACCTCTATTTATTATATTTGCACAGGGTATATTTATTTTGGAAGATATCTCAACTCTGTCACCCCTTTACCAAAACGATGCACCCCATAATAAGAAGTGCATTTTGTAGAGCTTGAAATTCTTTATCTTTTGATATGAAAGCAATAATTTTTATAAGTCAAGACTTTAAGGGAGTCTCCAAAACAGAGATGCAACCGGGCCAGGCGCCCTTTCCCGATCCAGTCCGGTCGAGACTTATCAACCGGCCGATTCCACCGGTTCCGGTCAAACTGCTGAACAGGGCCCGGCCGGCTTGGCTTATGAGTAGAAAATATGACAGAAAAAAGCAGATTTAGTATCATTTTGTACTGCTCAAAGAAAGATAATAAGTTTATTCATTATTCTCTGTTTGAAATATTCCTGTTTTTCCGGTCTATACGTAATGCATGAATATATTGACTAATGTCGGCCATATAACTGTCTATGATACTTGAACTTAGCGTACCTTTTTAGCTTCGTCTTTTAGTATTGTGTTTATCTTCGTACAACTTTTTATAAGTTTTTTGTTATTCTATGTTGACGATGCGAAAGCTGAAAGAAGAATTTTGCTTAGTAACAAGTCTCTTTTCAACAGGACAATCACAATCAGTGCATATTATGGAATTTCAAATGAAACATAATAAATACAGATGATAGAGAAATAAAATGAATTACCGCGCACCAGATACGCCTAATAACATATAAAACATACGGAAAATTATTTATTCCAGATGAGAAGAAATGCAAAAGGCTCACTTTTCTTATAGCACTTACTATCCCGAAAGAGTTCTTGAGAAATGTGAGTACCAGCCCCTTACCCGTCAAAATTTTTAGAAAAATGGCCGATCCGGTCCGGTCATCACATGATCGCCGGTCACTGGTGATCGACCGGTACCGGTCATGATTTTGTTGACCGGTTGCATCTCTGCTCCAAAATAACGTACCACGTCGTTGGTCAAAGGTATCTTTTTCTGTTTTCCATTTACAAAACAGTAACAAATAAGCGTATAAGAAACAGCACACAGCTAGATACACCGAAAAATTCTGCGTGTTTTAGGCCTTAAACCAAGTTTTTGCAAAATACTTAAGGGGAAAAAATTACATTTCGAATTTTTCTGATGTAGCAATTGAGCAGTAAAGATTTTCGTGGCTTCCAGTGTTTTTACTATTGTAAAAGAACAGGACATACTTATTTCTAAAACAACATATGAATAAAATCTAGACACAATTCTCTATCTTTTGACATAAAAGTGAAGTTTTGGGATCAAGTTTAACTTGAGAAAAGTTTTGCAAAGTGGCGTCATTTTCTCTGCTCAACCCGTTAGATCGATGCAGTTTTACGCGCTCTATCCGAATATGAGTGTGAGAATTCTAGAAAAGCTTGCGTACCATTATAAACTGCAAAAGACGTAAAAAACCGATTAACTTTGAGAGTAAAACACAAGTTTGGCTACGAACTTGAGATTATATCGGCAAAGCAGTGGCAGATTTGTAATCAACGGGAAAAAATGGACCTTCTAGTATATTTTTAGCTTCGTAGTTCTGAGAAATAAAACTACGAAAATCTTGACTAGTCTTTTTCAGCAATCAGTTATTGGATCCTTGAGTATTCTAGAGTTGTGGAAAGTACTATGTAAGACACATCAGCAGATTTATTTGATCACTCTGATTACAAATCTGCCACTTGTTTGGCGATATAATCTCAGCTTGGTAACCAAACTTGTGTTTTACTCTCAAAATTAGCAATATTTCAAATGTTGTCAGATTTAGTAGCGGCGCTCAAGCGTATCTCTCAGATTAGGTATGTTATTTAGAAAGTGCACAAAAACGACATCGAACTGCTTCCATCTCGCCGTTTCTCTCAAAAATCAGCGACACAGAAGGCGCACAATAATGCTAGTTTTCCCTTTTTTTCGATTTCCATCACCTATTGTCGGGAGAATTAGTTTTAAACTCAGTGTTAACGTAATATTTGAACAGCCAGATCTTCTCGAAACATAGTGAGACTCTTTACAATTTTTTGAAAACTATTTACAGGACTTCAGATTGAATCTAACACGGTATACTGACTAACATCATTCTTCAGTTTTCCGCACTTTTCTTGGCAGAATTTGGAAGGTACTCAGTTTTCACCTCAAATTCGATATCATTGTCAAATACTGAACCAAGTTTAATTCTAACTATCTCTATCGGATAGCCTATACTGTGAAACCTCTTTAGTCGGATTTTTAGGCGGAACAAAAACATTTTCATCGAGATACGAAATTTTCAACAAAAAGGCTATTTTGAATTTTCTAAAAAATTAGGCATGTCGTATTTCATTTCTTTCTCGGCCATTCGCGAATGGCATATATATTATAAAATATAAATATCCTGAATAATCGACGAAGCACCCATCCTGATCGTTCTCTCGTTGCTGTCGGCGAGTGTGGTCTCGATTGCGCACATTTAATGATCAAATATATCTTGTAAAATTTCCTTTCTTCAGGTGATCAATATTTCGCGCCCATGTTATCAGTTTTACAACACCATCTTTCTTCCAGATCGCATTATATTCACTGGCACTGTATAAAGTTCGATTCAGATTTTGAAACTATCAATACATTTTTAACATATTTTGAAAATGGATACCTCGGTTTTAATGGATCTATTACATATAATGAAAATTTCCAACAACATCAGAAATTGAAGACATGATTATGTAATACAAATATATTGAATCGATTAATTTTAGAAACCGATGCTCCACATGTTTCACCGAAACAATTAATTGATTACGATCCTTGTCGTGGAATTGTTTGTATAGCAAAATATTTGGAGAACATCTTTCGTTCGAAAGGTACTCAAAAGGTTATACAAATTTCTAACAACAATATTCGTACCGTGTACAATTTAGTCTAGCCCGTAGAATATTAATTTGTAATTTCTTATTTTCCACATAAAGTAACTTTTCTGGTGAAATTTCACGTATATGTGAAATTGAGTAGAATGATAGAGAGAACCTCAGTCTGAGTGAAACTGAGTGGAGTCACAGATGGAGGCACCATCTACGTGAATATGATTGAAATGATAAAGGGAGCCACAGTGTATTGGGGAAGTGCCTCGCATCATGGAGAGCACCACCGTTAAAAATTCCAGTTGTAAATTTTCCACTGTCATTAAATTCTGTGGTTTACAAAGTTTTTCGGTGTTTATATAATAAAGGTATTAATTTACTCAAAATAATGAGTTCCACACTTAAATTAGCTCCAAACGAAAATAATTTATTGGTTACTTGGTTCCTTCATACAGTGGAAAATCTGCAAATTAAATTCTGGTTGTGCCTTCCTCTATCGCTCCCATCAATTTCACACAGACTGTGACTCCCTCTATCGTTTCTGGAAATTTCACGTAGACTGTGGCTCCATCTATCATTCTGTCCTAAAATTTCAGTATGATGCGAATCCCTGTGAAGCTGCTTAGAGCCACACGGATCCACGCGGAAACCCGGAGCCACGGATCCGCTTTTCCCTCCTTGCATTGAGTACTCTCGCCTTTGTACATACAATACATGTAAAGGTCTCATCTAAAGTGATAACGGTGTCGTGTTTTGTATGGTTCTTGATATTTCATCATCATTTCATGCTATAACGAAAGTTTTTTGGCTATTTTGCACTTTTCTGCTTCGGTTTTTCTCTTCCGCTAAAAATACTTTTCTGTGCTGTTCTATGGTGACCTATGTTAAATAAAAATAAAAAGGTATACGTTGCTCAACTAGACAGTGATCGAACGATTTGCTTTTCAACATTTATGAATAATTTATTATTAGAATCGTGGAATGATAATTTAGATTTTGTCAATGTTGACTATTAGATAAATTTATTGAATTTATTAACAAAAGTCTGACATTCATGTTCAGTTTTATACTGACCATTATTATTATAGAGATGAAGATCCTTCATATCCATCAACAGGATCATTTGAAAATAATGTGTATCTTACACAACGAAATATATCATTAAACTATAAAGATAATCACTTATTTCATTATTAGAAGTTGATGATTGTGGATTGACTGTGGTAAAAGAAAGCGGACTGTTTATCTTATACTTTACTTTTTCGAAAGGAAAAGAACATATCGACCTGACCACCTAACGGCCACATTCGAATCAGAAGGTTCGAAAAATTTTCTTTATCCTTAGCAAATCTTCAAGTATATCATCTAATGCAGTCTTTGACGCTAATTCCAAATATCTAGTTCAAATTTTGAAGAAGTCAGATTTGGACCTTCAAAAGTGAAATTCAATTTATTTTCAGTTCCCCGATCTAGTGAAAATTTAACTTTTTTAAGCTTTTACTTGGTTTTACAGGCAAAGGATTAAGGCCGAGTTTTCTAGAGACCAAGGCTCAAAATGAGCCCTCTTTTGGCGCAAATTCTTTTTCACTATACTTCAGGTACAGAATCCGGCGTTGTTTTATTCGAAGGAAAACTGTTTACCCTTCGGATGAGGGGAAG